GATAGCCGGCGGTGCAGTGCTCTATCAGCTGAGCTATCAAGCCAACTGGGAGCTGGTCACTGTGAGTTCGTAATATACCCGTAGATGGTGAAGATACAAGGGAATATGTGAAAGAACATATATTTGAACTGCGGGGAAAGATATGAAGACACGATTGATCATCGCAGTTATAAACACAACTTCAAGGTGAAGCAGTTATTTCCAGGCTTTAATTTAGCTCGTATCTTCACCATTATACAATTTCACAACTCCTTAAGTTGTGTTTATAACTGCGATGATCAATCATGTCTTCATATCTTTCTCCGCAGTTCAGGTACACGTTCTTTCATATATTTTACTTAATTAATATCATTCTAAAATTATTTTATCAAAAGGCCCTTTAGGCTACCCCAGTCTTGTTACGCTTATGAAACTATTGTTTAAAGCTTGCAGAAGCCTTACATGCAAACCGGGCGGTTATTGATTTATTCTTGTTTTTGTGTTTGTTTTTGTTTTGTTTTGTTTTGTTTTGTTTTGTTTTTTCAATAAAGCAAAACAAGATATCAAGTCACTGGCCTGATGGGGTCAGCTTTTTAGTCGAATTTGGATAGAGTAATTAATTAATCGTACCTATTTGGTACGCTTCAGCTTCGGCGATATGGCGGGCTTGTTTGATCTTGTCAATAGCCAGTCAAATATAAAATATATTATTTTTTTACCCCAGAGTTTTCCCTGAAGACCCAATCGCTGACCTCTGGGCCGGGCTCGTAAGCCATAGCTCAAAATGCCACCAAAACTAACTGAACAGCTTCGATTTGGTGTAAAATTAACACTGTATTAGATAATAAACTAGTTGTCAGTTATTTTCTCACCTTTTAGAGTATCATCATCAAAATCAAGTTTTTCATCAGAAGGATGTGGGACTGGAGCTGGGCCTTGAGCTATGACTGACAATACATCGGGAAAAAAAAACTCTTTAGAGCGGCTTTCACATGAGTGTCGAAAAGTAATTGGTTTTGCATTACTACGCTACACGATTGGTTTAAAATACTCGCGAAGTTTTTCAGCCAATCAGAAGTGAAACCAAAACCAATCCTTATTTGCAATTGCTCGCGCTCGTTTTCCAGCGCTTTGCGTCAGCTACATGTATTTGTTTCAAGTTTTGATTGGTTCACTGAATTGTCTGCTTGTGTCCTTTGTGATTGGCTAGAGCTATTACTGTTTTGGTTTGACGATACTCAATTGAAAACTGCTCTATTACATAACCAACAACAATAATCCACAACAGAATTAAAATTAATTTACAATTAGTAACAAATAGCGTTGAAAAACTTAGACGACAAAATAGTTCTCTACAAAAAAAGAAGAAGGTATCGGATCTCTCGTTTGTCTTGTATCACATCATTACATCTTTATCCAATTTTATTGTATTTATTTATTTATTTATTCCCAGGTAGATTTCCAGACTCTACAGTGTAGACCTTGTTCACGATCACTACAAAGTAACATCGGGCTTCAAGTTCCACAACTATCTTAAAACCACGTAGTTTCCATTGCAATATTTGATAATTAACCAGCCGAGCTCTCGAACTGATGTCAAATATTTCATTTCTTGTTAAGTCATTAGGAGTTTTTGTCTTCTCACCTTCTAAAACATGTTCATCAAAATCCAGTTTTGCTTCACGAGAATTGACTTGACTTTCCGCCATGACTAAAATGCAAAGGCAAATACATTAAATTCATTGTATTTTTGTTCATTCGGTTACATTTTTTGGTTTCTGGTGGTCTCTCTGAACACTTCTAAAGAATGCGATTATCTAGAACTTGCTTGAAGTCAAACAATGCCGTATAACTTAACTCTCCTGGCAGCAGCCCGCCAGACTCAGAGGACTCTTCCATTCCAAGATAAGAACTTTTCACAATTCTCGCGAGCGTGGACAAAGGAAACAATTTGAGAGCGCTTATTTGCACAATCAGAGTAACAATAGGTCAGACGTCAGTGGGGATCTCCCTTACTTAAAAAAAAAAACAAAAAAAAAAACAACAACAACAACAAAAACATTGAAGTGCCTCGTGACGCTGCGAGAGTATGACCGTAATACACGTGAATCAACGTTCTATAAGAAAAGAACAATCTGGCGAAAAAGAGCTTAAATTAAAGGAAAAAAGGCAACATGTATTCCAAACGACAAGCAAAAGGTTCCCACTCTCCCTACTCCCTATAAAATACACTCAACAAGCCACAAGTCATCACACAATGACAAGTCAAAAATTAAAACTACATGAGTGCACATCAGGGATATTACATTCCACAGTCATATGAAGACATAATGTGTTTTTCTAAGAAACAGTCGCTTATAAGAAATACGTTTGACACACTTGTCACACTAACTCAGTCAGAAATGTCCGACCAAAAATCGCCGATTTCAGTGCGTACTTCCGCTGCAGTGCTTCGTTTACGTTTCACCGGGTTTTCAAATGTGAGAGCTAAGCAGTTTCTTGACATTTGCTAGTTGAATTATTTCTAATTATCAGCTGATTAAACATCAAGCGTTCGTGCCCCGCGAGCAATCAGTTATAAAACACATACACCATACATATGGATTCAAAATGCGTCAGCAGAGATTATACATATATAAGGTATCGAACACCTACCTCAGTTCTTCACCTCGGCTAAACTGACACAAAAATACGATTGAGATAAGTCGGTATAGCCTATGGAGAAACGTTTTCATGAATTAATGCACAGGTCGATGTGAAACACTAGAATAGAATAGTTTCTGAATCGACGAGACTTTTTGCACAACTAACGTTACCATGTATTGAAAACGACTAAAAGCGAAACAAAAATTTGAATTATAAATAATCAAATAGGGGTTTTTCCCTCTTTCAAAGAAAAATTGGCACATCTGGCTCGTGACCTCATAATATTAATCTCACTTGTACACGTGATCAATAGTGTAAGAGAAAGGTAGAAAAGCCGCCTGTGTGTTGCTTGATTACTTCCCTTGTAGTTTTTTGGTAATTTTAGTCAGTTTTTCAACCTTGATCAGGTAGACACCCTTATTTTCAAAGTATTTAAACACCAGACGACTGACAGTGACAGCTATGTCAATCCGTGACGCACCCTTCCTTCCTTCCCGCTCAGAGGAGCTATAAGACAGCTTCCTCGTAGGCTACTTCGCGAATATCACAGACTCCCCTACAACCGCGAAAGTCTATCGAAGTTAACTGCTTTCTTTCAGACTTTTTCTTTTTCTCACCTGATTACTTTTAGGGATATGTCGTGACAATGGGCAACTCTCAGTCACCAGCGAGTCACGTACGCGTCATCGGCAAATTACACTTAACATCGCTATTAGTCTAACACACGACATATTTCCACTTAGATCACCGAACTTACCTCTTTCTACTTTGAAAAACACACAGTCGCCCTTTGAGAAATAAATGGACTAAGAAGCAATTGAGTACTCGGGTATAAAGTTGAGGCCGGAAAGCACGTTTGATACGGGAAGTTCAAAGACCTTCAGTGAACTTGACTGATATCGAGTGGTCGGTGTCGCAATTTCTGGATATTAAATACATAACAATGAGTAACGTTGTAGAAAAAAAAATACATACAACAGCAGCATTCTTAATTACTACCTTGGCATAATTTGAACACTTTATTCCCCACGAGAAACCAGATCTAAGATACAGACAATGCATATCTATTCAAAATGCGTCAACAAAGATTATGCATCTATTTTGTATCGATTGCCTACCTCAGACCTTCACCTCAGCTGATCAGACAGAAACCCATGATTCCGATGACTCGGTAGCCTATGTAGAAAAGTTCACAGCAAGTCGTTGAGAAATATTGGGAAGTCTGAGTTTCTGAAAAGACAAAACTTCTGCACAAACAATCCTACGTGCCTTGTAAAACGACTGAATGTAAAATCAAAAGCTGATTTACAAAAATAGTAATCAAGAGGGGGTTGCCCTCATTCCATACATAAGAGATCAGTGCACTGATATGGCTCGTGACCTCATAATATTAAGCTGGCTTGTACACGTGATCAATAGTGCAAGAGAAAGGGAGAAAAGTAGCCTGTATGTTACTTGCTTGATTACTTTCTTTGCACTTGTAAAGTATTTTTGGTCAGTTTTTCATCTTTGATTGCGAATACGCCCTTATTGTCAAATTATCTAAACGCCAAATGATTGACAACTTTGTCCATGCGTGACACATCCTGTCAAGTTATCCTTGTTCTCCTTCCCTTCACCCCTGCTCAGAAGAGCTGTAAAGACAGCTTCCTCACAGGCTACTTCGCAAACGTCACAGAACTGATCCCCTTACAAGGGCGGAAGTCTATCGTAGTTAACTATTCTCGTTCAGACTCTTTTTTCACACTTGATTACTTTTTTAAAGGATATATTGTAACAATGAGCTATTCTTAGTCAACAGCGAGTAACGTCATAAATTAGCCTTCTTCTTTCAACTTGGCACCGCTAAAAGACGAAAACACGACGATCACATAAATTGCCTCCTCCCCCTTTGTAATACAGTCAGTCTTCCTCTTCGAGAAATTGCAACGAATCAACTGAACGTTTGGGTATAAAGTCGAGGCGGAAACATGTAATAGGTACGGAAAGTTGAATGACCTTAAATGATCTTCATCGAGAGGTGGGCGTCGCGATTTCTGTGATTTCTGGATGTCATATACACATGAAAATCAAGGTTCTCTATGAACAAATCCGTAGATTTCCCCGTTAATGATGATTGACATGAGCTAAGCTTTACCTAAAATGGAATTACTCTTGTCTTAAAATACTAGGTCCGCATTGAGGACAAAAAAAAAAGAGGAAAACGCAGGGAATTGTTCCTTATTTTCAGTTCTTTAGTATTTCAATGTCGAATGGCTTTCCCTGCATACTACAGGAAGTACAAGAACAGCTGCACTACATAAAATACAGTGCTCCGACAGATTTATGCATTTTCGATTGAGCCCCTCTACTCTGCAAACTTCTCGTCGCCTAATTGAAACCGATAAAGGTTGCCGAACAAGTTTTTCTTGTCGCCTGAAGACGAAAGCTAGTCTTCCTTACGCGACTCAGAGCTGCTACATCGAGTGCGCGGGTATTAAGACAACAAATCATAAAAGGCTGGGAATAAGATCGAAGCGACTCTGCTCGCGGGGTTGCTGCGAAAGATCTTCAGAGAAATCAAAGATTTTTTTTTTAAGAATTACAAACACACAACATGTAAGCCATAGGATGCAATCTGCTAGGTCGCGTAACGTCAAAACCGTGTTCTTATCGGTTCCAAACCTGAATAAAATGACCAATCGATAAAGGTTCACACAAATCATCTTCATTGATTGGTCATCTATTATCGACATCAATCGATGTATTGATATTGATTGGTACCGATTGTCATCGATTGGACACCGTGGGAAACTAAAGTCATATAAGAGTTCGTATTAGCCTCCTACGCAGACGCCCTTTGGGCTCGTCGCGCAATCTTTCTCTTACACTTTGCGGAGAAAGATTGCGTGACGAACCCTAAGAGCACGATTGCTCCTAGGAAGTACAAATACTGTCAAGTTTCTCAACTAAATAACTTACCTTAAAGGCCAGGTTAAACTAGGAAACATTGTTGCGGAAGCATTTTTTCTTGCTATGTTTCGACCTGTTTGCGGGGTGGCTAGATTAGCGGGAAACAAACAAAATACTTTGCTGCCCCGGTGGCTAAACGAGGAAACAAAGAGTCACGCATGCGCATTATAATAAACTGACTTTCGAAGAAGACTGGGGAGACATCTTTTTTGTTCTGGGGCTTGTTCTCTCATAATTTGTGATCTTTTGTAATTGTCCCTTGTGATACCATATTTCTCTGAAATCCGTGAATCGATTCGACAGTAAGCCACTTCCTTCTCTCCACTCGCTCGTCCAGTTACTTTCCTTCTTTCCCTTCCCCTTTCTCTCACCTGTTTGTGGCTCTTCTACTTCGACCTCGCGGTTAGCCAATGTTGTACGCTCGCCGTTACTGGGAGCATTTTTAATGGGCAGCACTGGAACCTTGTCAACATTGTTTTCATGGCGGCTAAACTGGGAAACATGTGCTTCGGACGCGAAATTTGTGTCCGGTAAGCAAAAATATTTTGGACTTGGGGCAAAAACATTTTGTGTTTCCGAGCAGCAAAATTTGTTTCCGCAACATATGTTTCCCGCGCGACTAAACTGGGGAACATTTTCCCCCCAACAATGTTCTGTCATAATGTTTCCTAGTTTAGCCAGGCCTTTACTTCCCACTCCATAGTTAAGCGGGTCAAACAAGAGCCGAAAACAGGATGCTCTCGCAGCCGGGTTATGCAAGTGTCTAAGTGTCTCAGATTGAACCCAGTTCGTTGGAAAAAAACAAAAATTAAAAAAATTAAAAAAAAAAAAAAAAACAAGAAAAAACAGACCCACAATTTTTTGTCCGTGAAAACTAATAATCTGCGGTTGTCAAAAGCTTTTGAGGACTTAGCGGGCCTTAAGCATTTCTAATGCATAAGCCCACAAGAACCATTTGAGAAATAAATCATATATCCATGAATAGTTCAATATGAACTATTAATAGTCCGAGTTTGAGCAAATTTGGATTTTCACATTTTTACCGCTAATTTCCGATTTTGTTTGATTCTTGCTGACACTCGCTCTTGATTTGCCTTGGCTGAGACCATGATTTTTTTTTTGTTGATATTTATGAAACGAATTAACGGTGCAATGTGGAAGCAGGCAAGGTGATCAAAGATGGAAATCCTTAAGAAGACCCTGTGATCATCAGACAAATCTATATTTTAAAAATGCGTTTTATTTCGAAACAAAATCTTAGCAATCATGAAACCTTATGGTATTTATCGAAAAATGCTGAAACATTTTCGAGGATAATGCCACAAAAATAGTTTATCTTAGTTTTTCAGAGTACATAATGAAAGAAGCGTAAATAGAAAGTGGCAGGACAACATTTTCTTGTCGTAAAAGTGGTTATTGTTGGACGTAGCGTGATTTAGTAATCTTGGCAAGTTTCGTACTTTTATCACAAAATGAACAATTCTGAATATTTTTGGCTCTTAACAGGGGGAATTTAATTCTAGACCGGCAAATAGAAACCAAAAACTCGCCAAATGATTTAAAGCGCCCTGACCGGCCTCCCTCATGAACTCCTCCCACTTATCAATATATTTTCTTATCATATTTTAGCATTACATTGGTACAAGAGATTAGTAACAGAAACTAAAAAATAAAAGCTTTGCACCATGCTGGTCCTATCCTCGTTCGATTGTAGCATAGCACTTTCCATATCGCGCAAGTTCTTCTACACGTCACGCAATCTTTCTAAGTTGGTTAGCCATCACACAATCTTTCCTAGAAGTTCAAACTAAGTTTGTTAAAACGTACAACTACAGCCTCGCATCTTGAGTTCGAGGCTTCATCACAACTGCATAAACCGGAGGGGGCGTGTCTTTGACCTCAAGGTCTTTACCGATAGCTTGGGTCTCCGTCACGGAGACAACCTTAAGGGAAATCCTCTTTTCCTCTTCCTTTTTCGCTTGTCCTTGTGGTTGGTACTCCTCGTCTGCGCCGAATGAGTAGCTGACTTCTCTAATGCTCTCAGCCAAGCTTTCGGTGTCGAAGGCAAAGCTGTCCAGTCCCAGTTCCTCCGGTTCTTTTAGAGGTTCTGGAAAACTGTCAACTGAAGGAAAATGGCGCATGGACTGACTCCGTGTGCTAATTGCGTCATCGTACATTCGTTCGATTGAGTGCGTAATGTTCCTGTAATAGAAAAATAGGACAAATTTAAGGTTTCAATGCAATTTTGTTTTTGTTTTTGTACAATTTGAAGAGATTGTGTCATCATGACTTTTGTTTACACCGTATAAACGTGTCTTCAGAAGGAAGGACATCTTAAAATAACCTTTAACCAAGGAAGAAAAACACTACAGAGGCAAAACCAAACTGAAAAGAAACTACTATTGATACGAACGTGAAATACTAAGATCTGGGGTTATTCCCTAACATATATGTTATAATTATAGTGCTGCGCCAAAGGGTGCCTGTACGGTTTCTAAAGCGTTCTGGTCTTGGCGTAAGATGTAGGTTTTGACAATTTTGGTCTAAAATAGGGTATGGTTTACCTTCTGGCCTAGAATTAGGTGTGTTGTTTATAGATGAAACTCAGTTTCCCTCATTAAAATCGAGGAGTTGAAGTCCTTCTTAATTTTTCACGAAAATAGAAGTTATTTCTGGTTACCCGCGTATTAATTTTAAGTTTAAGTTTAGTAATACTTTGTCATGCTAGTACAAGTAAATAAATCACAGAAATTACAAAAAGTACATGACTGGAGAATAATTGGGGGAAACTGAATTCCCATACAAAGAATATTCTCCGATATTAGAGAAGTATAGTAATTTTAGAGGCCCGAAATATTGCCTCATTACTTTTTAAAGATTCCCTGTTGAAGCTTTGAAGTAAAACACCAGATTTTAAAAAAATTAATGGAGATTGGGAGCCTATTTAATTTCTTGTAACTGGTGCTAAGCTCAGGACATTTTTGGTGCTTCCTAATAATGCGGCGCACGTGATCACTAGATGCTTTCCAAGCATTGTCATTTTTACAGCATATTTGAGCCGTGATAATGTTCCAGCTGTGTCTATCACGTGATCAATTTCAACCATTGACTTGACACGGGATGGGCTGTTTATAATGTGACTCAGGGGTGTTGTATAAACCTTATGTGCACTCACGCAGGTTCTTGTTTTCTCTTAATCCTTTCTCGTCTTATTCTGCACAGAAGCGCAATGATGACGATGACTATTGTTAGAATCGCAGCTGCAATGATTGCCAAGGCAACAATCATTTCTAAGGCTAGGTAAAGCAAATAAGAAAAATAAAGTATTAGCCACATTAAATATAAATACTACAGTGATCCAGTCCAGGTTGGGCGAAGTAATTGTAAATAGAAGCTTTGGAAGTGACCTGAGTCCCAATTGTGGTGCGTTCTGTCTGCTTTTGTCCTAAAAACTATGCCAGCTTAGTTAATTCTTAAAAGATTTCCCAGTCCATGATTGATTTCTTTATCTCGTCCTCTCTTAAATCGAGAGGGAGAACTACCAAAATTTTGCTACCTCGTCGAGTCTCGTCGCCAGCGTTCGTCCGGCTATTGGATACGAAAAGTTCGCTTATTAAATGTTGCCAAAATATTTTTTTCGTAGAGCCTCTGTTCCCTATCGCTGAACAATAACTGTGGCTCAATGGACGAGAACCTCTTACTCAATCTGCTCATTAGCCGTAGTTGCCAATAAAAAAAGGGACGGTTTGAATCTTCCTTCGTTTCATTCTTTTAAAAAAGGGATAAAGCTGTTTCCTTCGTAGTGTTATTGCAAAGTCCACCAGATACTACAAAATGCGGCCATAACTTTAAGTGCGTAGATTATCGAAGTACAACACCACCCTCCCCACAAGATTAATTATTTTCTATCACCAGGTTAATTTGCTCTAAAATTCGTCATATCGGAGCTGTACTCAGCTCATTTGCTTCCCGCCCAAAGCCTTGCATTGTTCGACGCTTCACAGACTTCATACAACATCTAGTTCTGGACTTTTGTTGTAAAGGTAGAGGCAGGTAAATAAGGGGACCAAGGGTACAAGTGTAACCTTCGTAATTTCCCGCACAATTGCTTTCTTTCCGTGGACACTAGGGGCTAGGCCGCGAAGGAGAGGCAATCTCCTCGCGGCCTCGCTGCCCTGGTTAAAGGGGAACAAAGTACTTGCGCGCGACATCCCGCCAGCTACAGCGGTAAGTTTGTGCAAGTGGTACTTACTTAAACACCAATTAGTGCTACATTCTCTCTTGTCCTCTAGCGTCCCACACGGTGTGGACGTAATACACTCTCGTGTTCGAGTTTGTTCACCATCACAGTCCTTTGAGCATTCGCCCCATGCTCCCCAATTACTGACAGATTGTCCAGCTATTGCAAAATAAATAATAATAATTATTGTAATCATTTAATTGCGAGAAAATTGCTTAGTATATAACTGCAGTTTGCTATTTCGTGCAATACTTGAGACACGCTTGGTTTCTAAGAGTAGCTCTGAGAACGAAGAGGGTGCCTGAGGTATACTAGGGTAAATGCGTGTAAACGAGGATCAAGGTGAATATGGGGGGGATGTTATTGGAGAACTGCTGAGTCTATATGGGATTGCGATACGTGGACAGCTTCTGTTAAAGGGGTAGGGGGAAGGGGTGGTGGCTGCGAGGAGGAACGAGGAACGCTTCCAGACTAGGCTACACTAAGTTCATCACTGAAATGTACGAACTTTCAGTTTCGTAACTACGTGCTTAAAGATTTTTAAGTCTTCACAACGCACGATTCTCTAACGACTGAGACGTTCGAGAATTTTCTTCATTGTCACCAAAAGCAATAAAATTATGTTTACAAAGCTAAGCGATAAACTTTTGGCTTCAATCAGTGTAATACAGCCGTTTCGAGAAAGATTGTCGGATGAAAGCGTCCAGCATACGCGACAAGACCAAACGGTAGTCTGGGTATTCACTGGAATTTTGTATATCGGTGTAGACGAAATAATCTACAAATTTGTATTTTTGTACGTGAAGTATCAGCGAGGATACATTACATTTTCCGCTCATAAGACCGCAGAGTTTTTCTGTAGCTTTTCTTTCACTGTTACACGACTTTAAGAAAATTCAAGTGGCGAAAAGAACCTTGCTTCTACCGGTTAAGATAAAGAAAACGTAGGAAACGACATTTGCCAATTTGTTTTATCTATTTAAGAATTCAGCGCATGGTGCAGCTATCAACTTCTACCCAAACTAATCTTCGGGATTCTCGCATGCGCTTTTACGCTTTAATCCGACAACCTTTCTCGAAACAGCCGTATATATTCATCTGTAGTTATTACCACGCAATCAACCCGAACGTTGCAACGAGCTCGACTGAACATCGATCAATAATTTATTCAGCTATCTCGATTGTTTTCTTATACCTTGTTCGAAACCGTGTACTCGTCTCATTAATCTAAAGAAGCATAGAAGAAAACCAGAGGATATTAACGAGCACCTGATACAGTTGTGGCAATAACTTTAAGGAGAAGTTTGTAACATCGCATTATAAATTTCCGTTTCAAGTTCTTAGCGTGTTTACGTAGTTACCGGGCTCAACCATTTATGCGTTTGTATGCACAACTACAAAACCACGTTGCATAGCAGTCTTCGAGATTATTATAGCGTTAACAATTAAATTGATATCTAGAGCATTTAATTCGAGTAGCTCTGTAAGTTCAGCTGTAAGTTCATTTTAAAACATCACTAATTTAACAGCCAGCCGAAAAATAATGACGAATAATGAGATGACAGAAATTTCATTGTAACCTTATAAAGTATGATATCGTGCCAAGCCAGCGAGGAGATTATTTAACATAACAGCGGAAATATGAATTCACTCACCAGTCGTTTGAAACAGGAACACATAAAACTGAAGAACAGCCATGAAGCACATCTTAGCCGAGCTCAAAGCCATGTTGCTAATCCAATCGAGTTCCTTAGATTTATAGCACTAAAAACTGCCAAAAATCCTGCAAATATGGCCACTTGAAGTCAAATTTGCTCTAGCTAATTTGATATGCACGTTTAAACTGATAAATTATTGAAGCCCAAAAGGTGGATAAAAGCTTGATTAGTCCGCCTCTTCCAACTGTATCCAAGGCAGCGAAGATTGCCAACTTTCGAAACTTTTCGAAGTTTTCATGCACACGAGTTCGCTGAGTGCAATTGCCAATCGTATTGGTTGAGAAGCAACGAATGATCGTTCTAAATTCTACACTGTTTTTGTCAGGACTGCTTTCGTCAAAGCAATTTGAATAATATCGGTTGGAAATCGAAAAAAAAAAGCAATGAATGAGTTTTGCCGGAGGCTGTTGTCTCGAAATATACCTTACACAAAAGCAGTTAGTTCAAGCATGACCACATCTATTGTCAATCCAGTTTCACCTTGAGGGTTCTTGTCCTTAAGATTTTTTTCTCGCCTTTTCTGAGAATTTTATACAAACCCTTGTCATGCGAACAGCGGTCCATTAATTCGCTCTGAAACAGGTATCTCTATACATTGTGATTGATGGTTTGCCTAGCAACTGACGTGGACGGTCATTGATCAAACTCTCCCAATTGAAGAAATGGTGGGATATGGCCGGATAATTTTCAGACTCGTTTCCAGTGTCTTCTAATAAGTAAAACCTTACAGCATTGGAGCATTGACCGAGCCTTACCCTTATAGCGCGTGTCAACCTCATGAAACTGGTTCCCACAAAAAGGTGAAACTGACGACTGTTCAAAAATTCCATCTTCGGCAAACGTTTACAAAAATTTGTGTTTTCGGTGACCGTTTTCATGGAGTACGTCATGAGGATGGGAAGCAAAGCCCGAAAATGGAAACTTTTGGCCTTTGCTCGTTCTTCGGAAACAGAAACAACCCCTCCTTAGTGAATTTCGTTCCTTTCCTACTTTGTTCACTATCGGCCGGTTTTATGTTTCCTTTCTTTGCGTAACCTTGTTCATGGGGATTCATATTTTTCTTTTCAAGTGTTTCGTTTGTTCTAACCATCCAGATCACGACCATGAAAAGTTTGATAACCACATTTTAAGCTGAGGTAGGTTGCGGAGAGTTATCCTTTTTATACTTTGCCCAGTAGAGATACATTATACAGATCCAACTCAGCATTAACATAGAATGGTTCCTTTAAAGCTGGTTCAAAACAGTTTCCAGCACTTTACAAAATAAAAGAAAGAAATAAAACGATAAAAGATCGGGGGGGGGGGGGAGGCATGTTTTTGAGTGCAAAGGCTTCTCTCTGTTACATAATCCACGAAGGAGGCTGCATGATCAATGGAGGCACGTGACTTTAATGTCAGTTTTCCCCATCCCTTTCCTGCACGCGTGGAGATTCAATTCACTTATTTTTTGCTCAGGTTTTGTCTACTCCCTACAGTTCCTATCACTTGTTTATGAAATTATCTTTTAAAGATGAAAGTGATGCCAGCTGTATGGTGTTGTTTAGACTGGAATATTTTCTTCGCTTTCAGATCATAAACAAAGTGGAACCCAACCAAATCATTCGCAAGAAGTCATTTGGGAACACAACGGCGATAAGGGAAACCGAAAAAGCATTTTAAAACCAATTTAATTTGTGAATGGATCCCTAATGGAAATATGTCGTGACCATTTCAAAGCAAGTTGGCTGTCAGATGTTCAGGTTAAAAAAGCTTGCAACCTAAATTTATTACCTATTTACTAGGATTGATAAGGAAAATACCCAAATTATTATCTTCGTTTTTCATTTGAGATGGATGGGTGGGGTGGGTCAACTTCTCTTCTGTTTTTACTCCCCACAGATAACACAGCATTGATTAAGAGTCACGATCTGTCTGTCAATCAACAACTTTATTACTTGTAGTTCACACATAAATCTCCAGCTGTAGATGTAAAAATGTTTCTGTGTGACGCTGAAGATTATCAAATCTGAGAAATCAGTAAATATAACAAATGTTGATAACCGTTGTCACCAAATACTAAATATTTAATATTACATTTCATTGTGTCCCAGATTACTTCTAACCAGTTGTTTTGATTGGTGTTAGTCTAGTAGTACTTACTAATCTTTTTTCAACAGCAAAGGTCGTTTTTAATGTAGTGGCGCCTTAAACTAAAATGGCCTTTACGGTGGATTCCTTCGTAAATAGTTCGCTGGACAAATCTGTTCTGGATCGACGTTTTACAACAAAAAATAAAACAAGCGAGGCGATCCAAATAATTTTGTAATTGTCTTAAACCATATTAAATTCTACACATGGAAAGTTATTTTCTCACACATCACGCAAGTCTTCCTTGCGTTACAGCGCATCTAAATTTGCGGACTGAATCACAAAAGTAAAGAAAATTACACGATTTCTAAGAAAAAATAGTTATGGTGTACATCGTTGCGCTAGACCAATGTTGTTGAGCGAAGAACATTGTTACGCTTTTGTGGAATTTTTATTTTTTTTTTTTTTTTCATGAATTCGGTGAGATGGCCTGAGTAAGTAGCGATAATCCATTTCAACAGCACTATAATCCTGTGATACATCAAAGCCGCGCTACAAGGCAAACAAACAAAGCTGTTATGGAAGAAAATGCGTGAAAATGGCGAGCTCCTGGTAGATGAGTCCAGCCCAGAGACAAGTCCGGAAACTTTCTTTAATAAAAGCACAAATAGCAGTGTTTCAAGTTCTTGGCCGACAATCCTTTCACACACCAGCATTTTGTACAATTGTGGCTTGTAGGAAGCACGAGCTACAGGCAGCCATCTTCAAAACATGTGGAAGACCGATCTAGTGACAAGAACAGTTTAAGGACTTTAAAGAAGATCAATTTCAGAAGACGAAAACGTGTCTCAGTGGCCAAATAAGCTGCAAGTCGTTCTCATGCTTTAATTTCTTGTCAAATTTTTAACAAAAAAATCCACCAACACGAAACGATCTTCTTCGCAAAACAACACTTCAAATGTGACTCTTGTTTCTCAGATATCACGTGATTTTGCATACTTTTGTGATTCAGTTACCAAATTTGGAAATGCTGTAACGCGAGCCTTCCTTGCGTGATTCATATAAAATAGCTTTCCATGTGTGGAATTTCATCAAGTTTTACTAAATCACAAAATTTTTGTCACCTAGTTTGTTCTAATTTTTTGTTGTAAAGCGTCGATCCAGAACATTTTTGTCCAGCGTACTATATAAACCATCCATAAGTCTACAACAAACTTCTTATCCCGTCCTTTCCCTTGCAATCTATCTTCCATTTCCTCAATACATGTACGTAACGCTACCGTCTTTGAGTAATTAACTTTAAAGAGTCACAAAAGTCCGCCTTTTAGTAGAGCGTTTTCTAATTACTAGCATGAGACCAATGGCTGCTGAGAATGCTAGCACCTTCCCTAATTCAGTTAAGAGATCATGTTGGAGCCGTACGAGCGAAAAGTGTCGACACTTATCTCAAAGTCTCCACACTTGTTCATCCCTGCCGGAGGCTGCATCGGCTTGCCACCGGTCTCATCGACAATCATTGCCATTCCCTCGAGCTGGTGCACCTCTATGTGGCAGTGAAGAAACCAGTAACCAGGATTATCAGATAGGAAATTGATGACAACGTATCCCCCAGCAGGAACCATAACTGTGTCCTTTCTGACCGTACGGCTGTCGATGGAAAAGTACTTCGGTTCTGTTTTCCAACTTGGTCTGCTACATCTCCTTTTGTCGCAGCCCTCTTTGGTACAGTGGATATCATCGCAGTATATATCGCTGTTGTGGTTTCCAACAAAACCAGTTGTGCCGTTATACTCTGGATATGCAACATGAACAACATGAAATGTGTGGCCATGAAGATGAATTGGATGGGCGTTGTGGTAAGCACCAATTGCTGTAAGCACCAGTTGAATAGTTTCCCCTTTTGGAATGTCTATTACATGGACACATGAGCACTCGGGTGTCGATGGATTGCAGTCGGCCTTAAGGTCACACTTTATGTCATATTTTTCAAACTCTTCATTTTGGGTTTGGGGAGGAAAAGAAGGGAGAATGAAATTGCGGCCATTCACTGCACTAGTCTGAGAGCCACCCTCAAAATTAAAGTTGATGAAATGTCTGCAATCTTTGCAATTGCTTCTAGGGTATGCATTTGGAAGTTCATCAGATGGAGTTGGCTCAAGTAAACGTAGGCTTTGTACATTAACACAGGTAATGTAATAAGATGGATGAAAGTCCTGAAATGGGCAGTTCACTGCTTTGCATGGGTCATTCCGGGTGCATTGTATGGGAGGAGACCTGTCTTTGATTTCTTGGTATTTTGATGAGGGTACATTAAAATCCGGATCATCCGAGTCCCCCGGCTGTTTGTAGTGCAAAATAGCCTCTGCCACATGTCCTAGTGACTGGTAGGGTGGCCCGGCCCCACTTCTATTAATCTCCAGAGTCTCTGCACGCATCCAGTATTCATTCGGCCCATTTGTATTGGTTGCACTAAGTAGAAAGTCTTACCTCTCTCCTGTATGGATGATGACATAATCGACGTCTTTTACAGGCTCAAGCCAATATCCGTCGGTGTTCACCACAGTCAGTTTATGGCCATCAATGGAGAATCTGTACGCATATAGTCCTTGGGCTCCAACTAGGCGAAAGCGATACGTCTTTCCAGCATCAACAGTAAATATACTCAGTCTTGTTTTGATGTATGGAACATCAGAATGCCTGCCTTTCCCATTTATAATCCCAGAAAAATACGGGACAGGTCCAACTTCTCCTTCTTCAAAACTACGTGTGGATTCATACCTTTCATCTTCTGGAGTAGGCACCTCGCCAATTGGTTTGTCTGGATAAAATCCCAAGCTTGCGTGGATCTGTGTGAACAGGTCCAAGGATGCCTCATGTTGCCAGTCTAGAAGCGTTAAGGTGTGTTTATCCGGAAGGTCTTCAAATGCAACATGGACACCATGCCTTTGGAGTTCAGTTTGGAGTTGTTTCATTCTTTCAGGT